CCTATGCATTAGCCGCTTTACTGAATACCTAGCAGACCGCCTATGCATTAGCCGTTTTACTGAATACCTAGCAGACCGCCTATGCACTAGCCGCTTTAAACAGTTTTAAACAGGGCACAAGGCAAACCTTTGAATCATCATATCTGGTGTGGTCAGGCCAAATCTCCATATACTTTGATGGTTTCAGTGCAAAGGCTTCGCTGGTGCGTGCTACAATTTGGCCGTCATCGATCTGCGTCAATATGGAATATGACATGATGTGCAGAGTTGGTGTAGCGTCGATCATCACACCTGTGACCATAGCAGCATGGAGCATTGTATCGGCGTGGGGACTCCATTCTCCACAACATCACTCCCAACGCGCATGTCAATGCATCGATGTGTGGCCCGCCACAGTGGACGAGATACAACAGTTGGCACACACGTCCCCCTGCCTCTTTTTTCCGCGCTGAGAAACTATATGTTAGTAGCGATACCAGGAGCCCTTAGTAGCAAAACCAGGGGCCCTAGTAGCGTTCGTTGTGACTGAAAAGCTTAGGCACAGGTGTGGACACACTCTGACATTGGTTTTCAGTTACACTCAATTTCCCGATGGGAAGAAAGGCGAAGAACCGCAAGGCGAAAAAGTCCGGTGACTTGAAATGTTGAACATTGTTTCACTCGCGCTGCTGGCGGCAATGCACAAGCGGCTGGAAGCTGCAGTGGAAAACCTGTTTGTGGGGAAGGTAGCATGGGAACAACCATGAAAACAAAGAACAGCGGCCGAGGGGAACCAGTGGAGTCAATGTGTTTGGTCGCAGGTACAGGATCAAGCGTCCTTGATCCCTTCCCATCTGTGGTCGTAGCTTCGTTGCGTGCAGTGGACCACAGATGCTGCACGCCCCTGCCTTGTGGAGTAGTGGTGGTGGAAACAGTGGCATTGAACCCTTTGGTACAGGGGGTGACACACACACACACACACACCATGTCACACCTCTTCACCCCACTTCCACCTCTTCCCACGTCCGCCGCCTTGGCGGAGGCCAAATGGTTCTCGCTCAACGCGGCCAGATTGCAGCGAAAGCAAAGCGGCGGCTCCTGATACGCCGAGGCCTCGTCGTGATTGCAGCGGAGAGGAGCAGCTGGGCTTCGCTGACGGGAAATGGGGCGGGTTGGAAGTGGTGGATTCCCCGCTGGACTTCCCTACCGTCTCTACCCTTCTGACCTTATGTTACCTGAAAGGTTTGTTGGGGGGGCCTGGTTTAGGAGTATGGTGACTACAGGGCGTGCTTGACAGCGTGTAGTCAGGCTGTGAACTGAACTCTGACACATATATCTATAACAGTCATGGAGATCCATCGGCCTGCGAAGGCTGCAACAATTGAAACCACCAACCATAATTGAGCATTCTAATAGAAATATGGCCAATCAGTCGTATTCTATATTCTATGAGTCATTCTTCCTTCTAGAATTTGAGCCATATAGAATATGACTCTAAATCAGACGTCGTTGGGAGTTGTTGCCATCTGGACGACCGTGTAGTCCCGTCGAAAAAACTTGTTGGTCGACCAGAGGCTCTCTCTCTATCATCCACCTCCTGGGAGTTCCTATTCTGTTGGAAGGTCAACCGCAAAAAAGTGTAAATCTATTGTCCCAATGGTACAAATACATTCAAATAAACCAACACATTCAACAACAAGTCTCCCAGATTTGCCCCAAAGCCACGATGAACCAACCGAAAGCAGAACCGGTCCACTTGTTGGCAGAACTGGTGCGAGCTGGTGCTGCAACCGGCGCATGGTTGGACCCTCCGCCTGGGCCGTCGCTGGGCACCCCACGGACTCAGTGTGCTGCCTGGCGCCAATGGAGCGAATTGTGAGGCAACGCATTGTGAGGCAAACTGCAGACTTATGTCTTTTCGAAGAACCCCATACTACAGGAGCTTGGAAAGAACAGAACAGGTCCCATGGAAACACTTCGCAATGTCGGTTCTTAAGGGCATCTGTGCTTGGTTGGGTGCCAAACACTACCTTGTTGCATTCTTTGGACAAGTCAAGTCCGTGTTTTCGATGTTTTTGCCCTTCCGTGACCCACACGATGGCGGCGAGGCCAGGCCAGTGGTTTGGTCTCGTATTAGGTGTTTGTTGCTGGTGTTTTTGGTTGTTTCTTGGGTTACCATGGCTTACAATGGGGGGTACGACCCAAAAGTCGTGGAGGTAGAAAGTCACCCGTTGACTTGGGCCAGAGGCGACGGTCGCTTGGGCGAACGATGAGCAGAATTGATGGAGGAAACCTAAAAATCACACAATCGAACACGATGTAAAATATGTGGGAGAACCCCAATCTGTTTCTTGAAGTGGTCTATCCGAAATTCTAGGCGCATTGCTTCCAGAAGGCACTTACAGGAGAGCACACGGATGTGACATAACATCAATAGGGTCTGCATCATTTTGCATCTGAAGCCAAAACATAGTTGAAGTTCTGCAACAGAAAACAACATGATTGCCAAACAGTTCTTAGGTATGATGCAGGTCTTCAAGTCGGGACCAAAAGCGACAGTAAAACCATGCTAAAAACACATGAGTGCACCCACGCGCACACTTGAGAAGGGTGCTCCGTGGAGCGAGAATTCAGAATTTCAGGTTGGATCTCTGTAAGTTACTGCATTGAGCCTTCGGAGTTCAATCTCTGTTGATTTGTTTTGTTGTTTTGTATAGCCCTAAGCCTCTTGGTGTATGTTCTAGCCTTGTGTGGTTCAATTTTTTTCAAACCTGAACCACCACCTCTGCGCGAATAGATGTGAATTCCAGATACCTCGTACATAGTCCACCACAAGAATTCGTAGAATCGGCCTTGCATGCCCGGTTTTATACCAGTTGGACCCCCATCAGGGAGCCGGCCCCATCAGGGAGGCGGCCCCTTCGTTCAGCCATCAAGGCCTGCCTGCTGAGCCTTTGTCTTGTTGCAGCAATGAAGTTCCAAAGGAAGCCAGGCAATTGCTCCTTCAAATACTTCAATGCTATGATTGACTGTGCAATCCATTGACAATCATCTTTATGGGACACTGAGATTAGGCGTCATCCAGTTTCAGGTTGGTGATGTTCACCATATAGCTTGCACATGCAGTGAACATCTCAAGGAAAAAGTAAACCCAAAGCTTTGCGGATCGCTCGAAGGATTCGCGATCGCCGGGATACAGAAGGTCGCACACCTTCGCTCGGCGTGCGAGTGCGTTCGTGCGAACGGCGGTTTGTGCCACCTTCCGTTGCTGGGTCGCCAGCAGCATTCGGAGTCGCCACAGAAAAGACATCCGTTTTTCGGCCCAGTGAGGGGCTTGCCAACTGCGCAGTTCGCGTCTGCGCATCGAGATCGATCCACATGCCCTTTCGGCTTGGCCCTTGCTTGTCGAAGTCTTGAGAGGAGCCTGAAGATTTCAAGTCTGAGCATGTCAGGTTTTCAGAGGTATCAAAGCCTTTCAGCCACGCCCGTGGGGTGCCATGCCTTTCCCTTCGGGTGCGCGTCTCGCACCTCGCGTTGGAAGCAGACCGGATCTTATAGGTTTACCTGTCAGAGCGGATTTCATGGTAGTGATGCTGTGATGCCGTCAGAGTCCATGATTTCTTGGAGGTGCAACTTGTTTATACTCAGTCAGCCAGTCTACTCAGTGAGCGCAAGCCATGACAGCTGTAGGAG